AAAAAAAAAAAAAAAAAAAAAAAAAAAGATACTCTTCCATTCCTTAGGTGGAATGGGCTGAGGCTCACTGATCACTCAAGGATGGTACAGAGGGAATGTAGAGACCAGAAGAGCCCACGCAACCTTGTTGGTGCTTCTCAGCCCTGAAGTCATATGTCGTGTCTACTTTAAACAGTCAAGTTATCACTGATGGCACCCCAGCACCTAGGGGTGGAGTGGTGGAAGGACAGAGATAAGTCATGGGAATAGCGGGACAGTAAGAAGAAAGTTCAAGGAATTTGTGGGCGTGTCTCAATGAACCTTAAAGGAGTTTTCAGAATGCTTTACAGAAAACCTTTAAAACACCACTTACAGATCCACCTTATAGGCTTCAATTTAAAGCACCTTCTATTCATAAATGATACACTGTGCAAACCATGTAGTTCCAAGGAAACAAAGGTGCTAATAAAGTTATAATTTATCCATCAGGAATAATATCAGTAACAATGCTCTAAAATTGAGAAAATAGAAAAATAAACTCTAAGTACAAAAAGCACTTACAAAATGACTATATGGATGTAACTTATACACCACTTCCTCCATTCTCAGGGTTTCACTGATTAAAGAAGGTGGGAGGAGGGTGGGTAGGTGCAATTATTACAGTAAATTGTTTTCAGCCCTCCTGCTGAGAAAGTGAACCCAAGGAAGTAGAACATAATTCTCAGAGATACTAGGTTATCTTTCACTTTGCCGTCAGAAAACAGGGTCATTTATATAATGCGTTTACTGTTCTTTGGAAAAATTTCTTATCCACCTTTGGCCTTGGGTGTGTGGTATCCTCAGAGTTAGTAGAAGGAAATAAACGTATCTAGGTTGATGAAAATGGTGAATAAATACAGAACACCAGGAGAGCATTGCACAGTGAGATAATATAGGCAAAAATGCTTTGAAAACCATAAAATGCTATACACACGCAAGGCACTGGCACTGTTATTACACAGACATTCTACTAAGCAAGGTAGGACAATTTATGGAGATCTTTACTACCTAATGCAAAAAACAGCTTTGCAACAGAAAAATGACCTAGAGAAGCGAGAAGCAGCAAAAACATCTGGCTTTCAAATCCCAACACAAGACCACAGACAAACAGACTTCTAAAGGAAAAGGAAAGAATTCAATCCATTTCTGGAAATACCAACCACAAGTGCACAGAGACAGCTCAGCCTCAACAAGCAGATTCACATACACCTAGGAAGTCTTACCAGGACTTCATCTCTCTTCTCCAAAGGTAAATCTTTGGGCCTGGCTCATTCCAACTGAAGCCCTTAATAAATGAAGAATGGAATGGGTTAAAGCAGAGCCGAAAAGGCTCAACCAAGCAGTTAGACCGGTTTGATGTCTGTCTGTGCTGCTGTCCAGCTCTGTGCACAGGACATGATGGGTTTATGTGCATCTGCAAAACTAATTATAGCCAGCCTACATATCCAACATCTGTGGATCCAACGAACTGAAGACAGGAAATACTCAAAAAATAAATGTGCATCTATACTGAACATGCGCAGATTTTTTTTACCCTTAGTCCATAGACAATACAGTATAACAGCTGTTTATGGGGCTAAGGTATAGTTCAGTGGTAGGACACTTGCCAAGCATGGGAAAACCTCTGAGTTCAATCCCCAGCACTGAAAAAAAAGACAACATAGCGTTTACATTGTATTGGGTATAAGTAATTTGGAGATAATTTTGAATGTACAAGTGGATCTGCATAGGTCATATGCAAATGCTATAACATTTTATACAAGGGATTGAGCACCCTTGGATTTTGGTATGGACCCTCTGCAGAACACCCTGAAACATTAAGGGCTGTCTGTCCATCTACACAGTTTTGACCTTCTTGCTCTAAGCAACTTCACTTGCCTCTGCTCACTTCCCTTGCCTTTGCCATCACATTTCCCGAATGTAACTTCCGGTAGGTAAGAGGTCGTCCCTCACAGTGGCTCCAGTGAGAGCTGCAGCTGCAACGTATGCGATCAAGAGTTCAAGAGCAATCGGGGTGAAAGACTGGCCACTGGTAAACCTGTCGATAAATTCTGAGCCATTCAGTCACTTAAGCAATCCTACTGTCTCTCTCTCCCCCATTAACATCTTCTCTCAGGAAGGGATCTGATAAGCTTAATACATAACAGCTTATTTAAGGTGTCACAGATCTGGCACTCTGCTCATTGGTGTTTTGGTCTATTGATGAGTTCACAGCTGACTTACTGTTGGGACATGGGACCTGGTCAGAAAAGCCAGGTCACTGGGGGCATCACCTGGAAGGGCACCCCCCCAGTTCCTCCCCTCTCTCTCTGCTTCCTGGCCACTGTAACGTGAGCAGCGCTCCTCCACCATCCCATTTCTGTGTTGCAGTTAAGGAATCACAGACTGTGACCCTAAGCCAAAACTAAACTTTTTCCTTTAAGTTGTGGATGCAGGATAATTTGTCCCAGAGATGAAGAGGGTGACTAAGATGCCCAGGATCCTTCACATTCCCACTGTGACCTATAGGCTGCATCCAAGGGAATGAAGAGCTGTACAGGACACGAGCAGAATGAGGCCCCACGTGGCTGCAGTGAGAGGAAGGAAAGCCCTCAGCCATGAGTGAATGGTTCTTGCCCTCAGGAAACATGGGATTGCATGGGACTGGGCATCACTTTTACTTAGAAAGGTGGCAAAGAAGCTGAGCTGCTTCTGGGACATTTGGGGTCGCCCAGACTCCTGAACTGAGCTCAGGATGTACTGTTCAGTCCCAAACCTTTTTTAAAAAAATCTAAAATGATCACTCTGTCCCAGATAAGTCAGTAAGATACTAGCAGAAAAAAAAATCATCAGACTTCAAACTAATTAGTACAATGACCAACAACCAACACAGTCTAAACTGTTTAAAACCAAAACAGTATTTTCTCAATCCTTTTGGGGAACTGGGGATTGAAGTCAGAGCATTTACACTGAGCTCTACACCTAGTACTTTTTTTTTCTCTTTTTGAGTCAGGATCTTGCTGAGTTGTACAGGCTGGGTTCAAACTTGTGATCTTCCTACCTTAGCTTCTTAGAATGCTGAGATTACAGATGTGTGTCACCATGCCTGGGTGCCATCTTGCTTCTAAGAATACTTTCATAGGTAATTGTGTTCTGATTCCTTTGAACTTTCTGTATTTGGAAATGTTTTAATATATCAAAAACAACATAGCAAAGCCAGGCGTGGTGGTGCATGCCTGCAATCCTAGCGCTTGGGAAGCTGAGGCAGGAGGAGTGCCATGAGTTTGAGGCCAGCCTGGGATACACAGTGATTTCAAGGCCAGCATGACCTTACTAGCAAGACCCTGTCTCAAAACAAACAAACCAAGACATAAACAAAAAATAAAAACAATATAGCATACTAGAGTAACTTTTCCCAAAGAATTACACGTGTTTTTTAAATCTATAAATCAGGATAAAATAAACTCTACAAAACTAGACTTTTGCGTTTGTATACACAATAGTAAAGAAACACACTTTGTAATAAAAATAGCTTTAGTGTAAAGTACTCAAATTATTATTTAAAAGTAG